CCGAGCTAGAGCGAGAGAATACACGATTCAGACAAGCTGTACCGGTTAGCAAGCGTGTAGCCATGATAACTTTTAAGCTTCAGGTAAAAAACGCGGGAAAGTGCCGAAGTGAGTAATGATCAGATGAACAAACTACTCTTCGCTCATTGGCCAAGATGTTATTCCTTCATTAAAGCGTTTACTTAGCTCGTTTCTAACCTCCTAAGAACTAGTCTTAACTTAAGCTTCGGRACTTTTGTAGTTTTATTTGTTTTCGCCTCGGATTACATGAAATCTCATAATCGRGGTAAAGGTCGGTCACACATGCATTTCTGTATAGAACAGGTTAAACAAACAAGTGTTATTTATTTAGCCAGCATTTAAGCTCCAGTGTGACCGCGGCCTAGCTTTTAGACAAAGTTATTTAGTTAAATAAATTAAATAAGGGGATTTGGTCGTTTATTTCGGCTATCTTCAATTATGTCCACAGTCAAATCAAAATAGCATATCACAGTAAACATTCCAATTAAGTCAAATTAAAGTAACCGTACTAGAATTGAAAGCATTATTCTTTGAGCCAAATACACAATTTTTGAAGAAGTAAGCTCGAAGCTTGCTATGAAAATAAAGAACTTGTGATAAATGAAATTGTTTGGTTCTGAAAAACGTGAACTTTCCGGTTATTTTAAAAACAGCTGCTTTTATGTAGTCACTTGATATTGGTATTATCATAAGAAAGTTTTAATTAATAAACCTATTTAAAGAGACAACAGAATACAGTCCAGATAAAGATATGAAATTTTCTGCTTGACAAAAGATAAGATAAACTTATATAAACATAATGCTTTGCAAGCACATTTTTTAGGCTTGTGTCAACGAAGAGAGAAATCAATTTTTTCTATGACTCACCTGGGGAAACTGTGGATTTTGCCAAGTTGTTAGAAACCTCATAGAAGGATTCCACATTTTTAATTCTCGAAGAAATATCAGTTCTTTCTATTTTCCAGTCGTCACATAAGTCATACTTTACCTTCAACGTGACTGCGTCACCGCGAACTTGTTCAGCGAAGAAACGAGATTTAAGACTTCATACTTCAAAATTCTCAATTACACTTGCATCAGAAGTATAAGTTACATGTTATCTTAAAAGAACAGCTGATATTTTTCAGTATTTTGCTAGCAAATCTGCATTTTTCGAGAGCACAGAGGAAGATCTAGTAGCATCTTCCTTGTCATGTTGTAATTTGAAGTTTGCTTACAAACCAACATCCAATCACAATTGATTCTCATGTCACGTGGATAACAAAAACATTCGATACATTCCACACAGGCAACCCAAACAAACCGGCAGTGATAGCAACCTTTCATTTCATTTCCAAATTTCCAAACTGATATGAACTATAAGAAACAATCTTTGATTTTAATTCTTTAGAATTCTTCTTATCATAAATTGGCCTGAAAAGCTGTATTTGGGAGACCAATAAAGTGTATTTAATATACACCTAATCGAAAAAACGTAGTCGGGTTCGAGAAGGTCATATCATCAAAGCCAAGACCTAAAAGGATTTTGGGTACTCCGAAATGTGTATTATATTTGCATATAGACCTGTAAAAATGCAAAGTAGAGCAAAGTGGCTCGACCTAGATTAACRACATGCMAAARCCATGATGCATAAAATGTGCACAGGAAKGGAAAACTGCAATACACATGAAATTAGAATAATTGCTGTCTTCCCATGCTCCCCTTCAGTCTTAGCTTTGATGATATGACCTTTTTTTGAACCCGACGTTTTTTCAATTAGGTGTATGTATATTTTTAAGTTTTATGTATCTAACCTGACATTTGATTTATTTCCTTAGGGTCCTAGCCAGAAAACTATAGATCCCAAAGAAAAACCCTCAAATCTAGGGAGATCTGTGAAATTTTACTCACATGTGATAGGCAGACTGAATCCAGAATTGACCCAGAGACAACAGAGGTGGGAGATGAGTGTATTACTGCTAAACTACCCTTGATTCTTAAGGCACAGACAACAATGAAATGAAAATATTTTCAACATATTTTTTCAATATACACTTTTAATATTATGCATGGGATTATAGTATAGTATAAGTATGTGAAAATACACTACACATACGATGACTCATAGATAACTTGAGGACTTTTTAGGAGACACTCATTATTAAATTGATTATCTTATTTCTTTCCTTTCTTCATTTTAGCTAGCCTCTCTTTTCTCTTTTTTACATGTTTTGGAGTTTTATTCATTCTTTTTTCACGGTTAGCTTCTTTGACCATTTTCTTATGCTCTTTCTTGCTTAGTTCTACTTTTTCTTCTTGTTTACTTTCACTGCTCTTCTCACTATCATCATCACTGTCACTTGCTGAATAACCATGGTTTTCATCAATAATTTCCTTCTCTGCTTTGTCATCAATTGATAGATTATTTTTCATATCTGATTCTAAGCCATTTTGGAGTAGCTGTGGTATCAGTAGGGCACCAGTAAGATCAGACTTCATACCAATAACCTTCTGGTACATTAATTCCTCTGTTTTCCCCTCCTTTGCTTTTTTCATATCTTCCTCAAAATCTACAACTTCGTTCAGTGTTCTGGGTATATAGGCATGCTTAAAGACTTCTTCTTCTAATTGATCAGAAGCATCGTCAACACGATTTGCTGCAATTTCTTGTGCTTTATCAAGATATTTATTCACATTCTCATCCGTTATACTTGGATCAGTAACAAAATCAAACAGCTCACGAACAGTCATCACACAAACACCTTTTTTCTTGAAGAATTCCGTAACATTACTACAGTCTTTTCTCAAGAATTCCAAAGCATGTGGATGATCATGTTCAACTGCCTGGGATACGTCAATCACATAGATCCCACCCTTGTGATAAAGAATATTGAACTCACTCAAATCTGCATGCACAAGAAGACTCTTCTGATATATGTTTCTCACTATTTGTACACACTGTAAGTACAACTCTCTTGCCTTGGATTCAGACAGTTCTACGTCTTTCAGCAGGGGTGCAGGCCACCCTCCTGTACCGATGAACTCCATGACCAGCACATGACTTCTTAGAATGATAGGTTCTGGACAAGGTATGCCAGCTTGATGAAGTCGGATCAAGTTTCTCATTTCCTTCTCAGCCCATGTTCTGACCATCTTTCTGGGATTGTGCTTACAGTAGCCGTGTCTGAAACGAAACTCTCCTGTTACATACTTGTCCCTATCCTTAAAGATCAAGATAGACGTCTTGTACACCTTGACAGCTCGGTCTTCGTGCTCAATGTTGGTGGTAGCATGGTAGACATTAGCTTCTTTTCCAGTGCTAATGCATCCATTTATCTCGGAAATAAATCCCCTGTTCAAAAGCTTGAAAATAATCATTCTCGTCCTTGGGTCTAGCACTTGCTCTACAGTAGCCCTATCAGCCTTATCTTTGGATCTTATCTTCACATTCTGGTTTTTCCTTGAAGATTCTTTCAAAACATTAACTGCAGCATTAGAAAGGTTTCTGGGCCCTTCGTATTTTTCTACGGAAATTCGATTACCGAATTTCTGTAAAGACTTCTCATGAGGTTGGAGTAAAGACTTCCTAGTGGCTGAGGAGTTTGATGGCATAATATGTGAACGGCTTGCATTGTATCTTTTGGTAAAATCTCCAGTTTCATCCTCCCAATCCCAATGGTCTTCATCACTGTCCTCTAGTGTTTCTTCGCCCTCATCAGATGATGACGATTCGATCGCTTTTTTCTCGCTCTCTGCGCTTTCTTTCGGGACATTTAGGTCAAGAAGTTYTACACTTTGAGGTGTTTCTGTATTATCTTCTTCTGCATCATCAAATTGTCCACAAAATACCACGGAATGTCCATCACGAACTTTTATTACCTTTTCTTCTCCACGTGCAATGAACGCCATTTTGAAATACTAAGCAAAACGATACTTTATCGACTAATTTAGGCACGATACGGATGAATATCGATTTGATATTTGGATCCCGAGTTTGCGCATTAGTGTCCATCATACTGCCCAAGATATCGGGATATCAATGCAAATCATCGCTCGGCCCAAAGTTTGTTTTCATTGACAAAGTTTTTTCTCTGCAGAAATAATTTTTCTCTTCGCATTTTATCCTTCGAGGATTAGTGTTTTACTTACCGTATGCCTTCGATATAAAGAGGTAGSAGAGTGTCGAGTTCAAAAGTATTATTTTTACGTGATTTGCAGAGGAAAAGCCAAATTTTGGGTGTCGAAATCRTCAAGTCCATCAGTCCATCACGTGTGACCGTATTTGTTTTATCAAGTCTGTTCTTTCCGGGGCAAAGTGCTTTCATTATATKTAGAAATGATGCCTGGGATATGTAAACTTTCATTCTTGTGACACTTGTGTACGTGCTATCAGGATAACAGAATTTTCTTAATACTGGAGTCTTCAAAGTTTTCAACATTTTTTTCTCTACTCATTGAAGCTCAACATCGTGGGAAAAACTCCAATCAACCGGTAAACAAATTTTCTTGAGAAAGGTTATTGTGTTTTACAAAGTTTTTATCCATCGAGGACCTGCAGGAAGGACTTTAGTTGCAAGAGATGGGACTTTGAGTAAAGCAAGAATATTAACAAGAATGATCTAGAWCATGGAAGGATAAAAATTTGGACATGAGATGACCAATATTTCTTCCATCTTTGACAAGAAATTATATTGCATTTCCCATCAACGACGATCTTCGACAAACTACAGAACATTTTAAAGACCTTTAAGGTGAGTATTTTAGTCTCTGTGTCGTTTGTATCTCTGTAAAGTTCTGTATAGAAGTTAATTGTAGAATAACAAACAGACATCGCACCTGCAAGGGTAGGAGATTACTAGTGGTTTTTTTTATGCAGACATTGCTATTAATAATAARATTGCGAAAAGTTTTATGGGACAACAATTTGTTAAAGTTTTACTGTAATTTCAATATGACAGAGTGCTTTTCTTTCTCTTTATATGTACCGCACCACCGCAATATTATATGGTTAGATTTTGTTTTCCTAATAATCATAATAACAATAAAAGCTRTATTTGAATAGATAAAGYGATTTGGTTTTAGTCGATCATATTRATTTATTCTCAGACCTTTAATTTTGGAGCCTAAGATCTCGGGAAGTTAYGATAAAAAAGAATTTGAGAAATACGAGATCATTTCCTTTKCAAGGAGGAAAAGAATACTTGAAATATTACAGCAATTAGGTCGTCAAGATTATCTACAACCAGCCGGAATTTTTTTTTTTAATCTATGAATCTTGTATACTAAAATAACTTTTTTTTTGAAGCTTTGTTATTACTGGTTTGAATCCCCAAACACAAATCTATTTAATAATTGATTCATCTAAGTTAGAAAATACAGAATAATATTTTGACAAAGATTTTTAATTTTTCATTGTATTACTTCAAGGTTATTTTTTAAATTTGACTCTTGGTTTTTATTGTTTTACTATTTTTGGCACAAATCAATTATATAGAACTGTTGAAAAAAACAGTCACCACACATGCATACTTAAAGTCCCATCGACAAGGTCATTCATCCATTCGTATATATGCTAAAATGTTAAATATTTAACATGAGAGCATAATTCAGGAAATTTTGAATCATAAAAACATGAATAAATGCATGCCTTCCCTTTGTTTGGTTTCTTACAGTTTCATTTTCAATTCAATCATAAAAACATGGACCATGAGTTTTTTAAGCCACAGACTTAGCTATAATCAACAACAATTTGGAATTAGATAAATTAACTCAACTTCGTTTATAGAGGATGACACTTGACAGTAATTTAACTGATAAACTCATGGTCCTCTTTTAACATCTCTATATGATAACGGGATGGGACCACCATTGACATGCTCATCCTAGCCACASGAAGGTCTAAGCATTTGCAAATGTAATTACAAAGGCAGCACCTTTTCCTCATTTATTTTAAGACTTAGAGTGTTGGTCTGGCTGAGGCTTGAACCACGACCTCCTGTACAACAGACCAACGCTCTTATCAACTTAGCTAATGATTTTTTTAACCTTACTTAGAACACTATTTATGAAATGTAATCAGCTAAAGATTATGATCACTTTTTAATTGTTTTTTGCATTGCTCTTGACTTGTAGTAACAGCGTATACTGTGTGACAGTGTAATGACTGAGAAAAAAGCCAAGAGGATATCRCAACATCAGCTCCTGGATTTTGAACCACAGTCTGAAGTCAATGAAGTAGAGGATGAGTTCAGTAGCTCAAGTGATGAAAGCCCAGAGGTATTCCTAAAARCTATCTTCCTAGAGATGCAATGATTTTATTTTGAAGTAACAGCCAAAGGGATGATATAGTAATCCATGGCTTCATTTGATCTTGTCACCTTTATGTCTATGAACTCTGTGACAATAGTCATGTCTGTGATGATAGTCATGGTTGAAAAAGGGAAACCCCTTCTGCTTCTTCCAACCAAAATATAGTATATAATATAAAGATGAAATAATATTTAATAAAATTATTATACTAGATTTCTAATAATTATTGCTGCATCTTGTATATATTTTATTAGGTGTCTGAGGATGAGCTGGATGCTTGTAGCAATAAAAACTTTGATGCTGTTGTATTTGACATCAGAAAAGTCACTCCTGAGGAATTTGCTGTGAGTACTTTAGATTTGTATGACTGTGAAATGATGTAAGGAAAACAAAAACCAGTCAGACTGCTAATATCCCTTTTCCTTTGGATAGGATTTAGKGATTATTGATGTTTKRGTAAATTTTGTTGCATACAAAAAAGTGAAATCTTTTTTTGTTTTTTGTTTTTGYCTTCCAGAAAGAAGTAACTTATAAAGATATATATGTATTCAAGTCTATTAGACCAGAGGTACTGATGATATTAAAGKCTATCTGTCGTCTAGTTTCTTTAGTTATCAATTATCATGATTAACACATTAACTAAGTAATCTATTTATTTGAACAGGAGTTATCAGGATGTGGCTGGACAAAGAAGGACAAGTTAAAGCTTGCTCCAAATGTGGTTGCTTTTATACAAAGATTTAATCATGTATGTGTCTACAATATATATGTCTCTAGAACATCTGTWTGTGYACTCTACTGGAAAGGGAAGGGGAAAGTGTAATATTGGGGTGCATTTTACGTCATGGCYACCATGYCAGTTGAYTATACAAAGCATTCCTCATTAAGCTTCTCTTGTTAAATCAACCAAGATGGCGGCTGTTTCATTGTTATTTATATCTCAAGGGATTTTTCAGTCACATGGTTACACTTCAAGGATAGTGGATGATTGACCACACCCAACTTCTCCTRCCCCCATTCCCTTTCATTGGTATTTTACTTTGTTTATCTCTCGCTTGTAAAATGGTTCTGTCTGTCTGTCACAGATTAGTTTTTGGGTGGTAAGAGAAATACTGAATGCCAAGAAGTTGAAGACAAGAGTGGCTGTCATGTCTCACTTTATTAGAATAGCAAAGGTAATAAAAACTGAATCTCAAAGTATGCCTTTATCTCGCATTTGTTTTTTAAATAATTAAATTAAGAAGAAATGAATTAACATAAATAAAAGGGTTGAAGGGTGTTGTTCTGACAATAAATTATTATCTGTGATGTAACTGAATAAATGGTATGTTAATGGTTTACGATATTCATGCCCTAAAGGATATAATAAATAAATGTGTAAATAATATGCCAATGGTTTTTGTTTAGAAATTCTTGGAGCTGAACAATATCCATGCCCTGAAGGCTGTTATATCTGGACTTGAGAGTGTTCCRGTGTATAGACTAGACATGACATGGGAGGTAAGACATTATTTTAACAGCCGAAGATGCCCCCCCCACTTTCCCTAGCCCATAAATCTTCTCATCATTATATGTCCACCATTATTTTGACATCTTTATAACATTCTGTTTCATTGATTCACTGACTTGTCCTTCAAGTTTSTTTTTCAAAACCATGGATCTCCTGCTAGTGGTTCTGACCAATTGCCTCCAAAATGGTTTTCTTATGCAGATGCACACATATTGCACAACTTAAAATGCTTGCAGATGCTGTAACTGTTTGCTAAAAATGATAACCACTCTTCTTCTCAGCATCTTCCAAAGAGAGACCATGCAACATTCGAAAAACTTGTGGAACTGCTATCTGAGGATGAAAATAGGTAATCAATATAAGTCATCACTCTCACCTTTTTACTTACATCTGATATTCGTAAGACTTACCTAAAATTGGTCAATATTTTTTTCAACAGAAAAAAATTAAGAGAATATTTAAGTACTGTTAAACTGCCCTGTATTCCACACTTAGGTAGGCATTAATGYTTCAGTTAATATTTATTAATCTGTTTTATTTTGATTGATAAGATATTGTACTATTAGCGATTTAAATGATGAAATTATATTTATAAGTTAGGCGCATTTGAAAATGCTAGTATGTTAGATTTGTGCCATATAAATAAATATTATCATTTATTATTATTATTATTATTATTAGGAAGCATAGAATAATTTTACATTTGTCACTAGCTGAAAGGGAAGCTCTGATAAAAACAGACTTCCTGATAGATTATTATTATTATTATTAGGAAGCATAGAATAATTTTACATTTGTCACTAGCTGAAAGGGAAGCTCTGATAAAAACAGACTTCCTGATAGGAGTTGAACTCTTGACCTTCCGAATGCTAGACGGATGCTCTAGCACTGATCATGCGCTACAGGAAAGACTCATGATGACTCTCATGCGTCCCACCAACATCCAAAAGGTCATGAGTRCAACTTCTATTAGTGATTCTGTTATCGAATGTAGAGTACAGGAAGCCAATGAGATTCTTTTATTTCAGGGATGTACCTAACTGATATAATGTATATTGATACCATACACCCAAGCACTGGAGGACTAGATAATGAACGAACCAGAAAGGTGCAGCTATAACCTAATATATAAAACCCAGTGAAGTTGTATTGTGATACTGCTCAGTAAATGTATGCTGCTGCAGCATAATAAAATTTAGAGTTTGAAAAAAACTGTGATTTATTTCAGATGAATGATATAATAAGAATAATTTCTGAGTTTCAACAATCAAACTATGGTAAGTAAATAGGATTTGCTGTATTTTCTATTGCTTTACATATTAGCAAGATTCATCAACTTCTCGAGAGTATAGGCATAGTGTGCAAGTGGGGTGGGGTGGGGCAGGGGGG